AAGAAATGAACCTATTTAAGTCTGGAGTTGAGCTAAGACTGTTTTTCTTAACTTGAGCTACTTTGCTGGGATTTCCAGTTTAGGGCATCAGTCATGCTCAATGGTGAGCACCTGAAGAAGTTGTCAGGATTTCTCACATGCAGAGCAGACACCCTTTTTCCTCTTTTTTTTTTTTTTTTTTTTAACTTCTAAGAGTGTCAAGTTATTGCAGAAGTGAAGGTTATGAGCATAAGCAATGACATTTCTTTGGCAGATGATCCAGACCTGTGAAAAACGTTTCCACAGGGCACCAGAGAAATTACAACTCACCCTGGTCTCAGAATCCAACATCACCTTTACAACCTTGCTCCAACTCCTTTTTTTACCAAATAAGAACGAGGAAGGATGAGGAAAATAATGGCTTCTTAGTACTACACATAAACAGATACAGCCAATCCATAGCATCACTTGTCAGGGAACTGGATCCACTTTGGAACAGACACCTCTCCTGGACAATGCCACCAGGAAGGACAAGTAAGCAACTTGGTGTGTCCTCCTCCTTCTTTGGGTGGTTTCCCACAGAGCTAGGAAGCCTCAGTCAAACCCCCTCACTCTGTTGAGAGGGATATACTTAATCATCTCAGTATTGCTTCAGCTATCCAGAAATAATTTCACAGGGTAATTTCCAGTCCTCATCTTTTCAGTGATTCACCCTTCCTCTGGCCTTGTTAGCTACAGAAACTTGACAGTTCCCTTTCAGGCACTTTGTCTGCAGCCTTTCAGACAAAATGACAGACACTGGGGGAACTCCCAAGCACTCCAAGCACCAAGACAGCCTGCTCACACCACCCTGCTGCAAGGCACAGGAGCTGTCTCATGGAGCTACTTCTTGCTCTCCAGACACCACAAGACGGGCACCAGTAAGTCCTCCAGTCTCCTCCTCTTGTTCACCCAACTTCCCACAACCCACACTCCTCCCAGGGCTGACTGATCCCTCCCTCCCTCCCAGCTTCAGGAGCATGGTTATCTTAATCCTGCCAAACCAAGGGAACCTCAGCCAGAAATTTTTTTTAAGGAAATGAACCAGCTCCACAGATGCCAAATGAACACTATGATCTCTTACATCCAGTCACCAAATCCTGCTATCCACAGAGAAATCTGAAAGTCGTGGTTAAGCCTGTGAAGTTTAGTGAACCAAAGGGATGCTCAAGGGCAGTGGTTACACACTCTCAGGCCAGGCTCAAAGTTTATCTGAATCCTACTGGCCCATCTACAGAGGTCCTTACAGACTCTAAATTAAAGCATTCCCTTTCATTTTTTTTCCTTTCAATGGGATAGAAACACCCTGTGTATTACATCCTCCTTGTGCAATCCACCCTGTGTATTGCATACCCCACAGAGTCTACCAATAATAAGAGAGGTCTCTCACAGCACCTCCTTGGGAGAAGAGGGCTCCATAGTGTGGTTTCCATGGCCAAATATTGGTAAAAAGCAGAACACACTGGAAGTATGGATAAGGAAGCACATCTGTATCTATTTCTGAAGGCAGAATCGCACCAGTGATCACATTTCACCACGAAATTAGCTGCCAACAAATGCCTAGTTCCTGCACTCTGCTGCGGCAAGCAGATCCTCAGAAACTTCACTGGAATTTTAACAGGTGGCCACTGCTATCAGGAAGTCCATAAACAGCCAAACCCCAGAGGAAAATAATATATATATATATATATATACATATATATATATATATATATATATTCTTTAAAAAGGAGCCATTTGATATTTCAATGTTTTTGGGGGGGAAAGTAACACCAATTTCAAGAGAAAAAGAAATTAAGATTTTATTCGGAACTTATTGGCAGCTTAGCTGCTCCTGTAGTTCCCCTTTTTCACACTCAAGGAATAAAAACGGTTTTAGTGATTTTTGATTGCCTACTTCTAGAATTGTTCCATTCCACATTAAAGACCTCATTCATTTCCCATTAGCACATTTTAGTTAAAATTAACACATAATAATTTTCGATGATCTGGCTTTCAGTATGTTTGTAAACAAAAAATTAATCTCAGAGGAAAAGCTTTGAAATTGTTAAAAGTCATTCTGACAGAATTAATCACTAAAAACACATTTTTACAAATTTTTTATTTAATTCAAGGATATTAAGAGCACTGGGATTGTCAGTTGTATTGCTCTTTCCTCAGAATGGCTTCCTTAAATAAACAGTTGACACCATTGACTCCAAAACCTTTGGCAATGGGACAAATAAAGGGAAATTGAAGACCTCTGGATTCAATTAATTTTAAGAGGAAACAGAAGACAACAAATACCACATGAAAACAAAATGATCACCAATTTTAGTAGCTAGAAAATCAGGCACAAGCAAACTTTCTCCTCATTCTCTGATAGAGAAATGAGACACATATTGCTGTCATTTTTACTTGGGGGAGATTCAGTGCAATAAGTAACAGAAAATTTAAATGTAGCTACAGGAGAGCTTTCACCAGGGGCAAAAGAAACAAAAAAAAGGAAAAATCTGAAAGCTAATAAGAAACATAATGAGAGGCACAGAACAAAGGGTAACAGGTTTTGTCAGTTGCTGGGATGGTGACCCCAGCACGTGTGCCCCTGTCTGACAGCAGGGTCTGTTCAGCTGTGTCAAAGAAGGAGTTAAATCTCCAAACACAGGCAACTGGAAAACATTTTAGATCATCCTTCTGCCTATTTGCTCAAGGCAGTAACCAATGTAGAGTAGAAGTTCTGGACTATTAAGTGTCTGATTAGAGATACTGTTTCCAGAAAATTTCTACAGATCATGTTAGTTCTGACACCATGCTTATGTACAGAGTTTCTCAGGGTGTGATGTGACCTCTTCTCTTTGGTGCTGATTATTAGCTGTAGATGTCTCCAAAGGCTCTCCCTAATCAGGAATATATGTAAGGAATTAAAATGGAGCCACTTTAATCAATTATGAAGTGCTGATATGAAACACTCCATACTGCTGACCATATAATTTCTAAGTTTGTGGAAAACTGCAAATAAATACTACAAAGTTACTGACAGACAGGCAATTTGATGGCTCTGTTTCACTGAAAATAAATTTAAAAAGTGTAACAGGCTAAACCATAAATAATGTTCTAACATGCCTTATCAGTTTAATATTCTGGTAGTCTTACACTGCTGCACATAAAACATGAAGAAAAGCTACATACGATCAAAAGAGACTCATCTAGCTTTAAATATAGAGGAGTAGGTGCTTTTGCAAGGAGGAAATCTTCTGTTAAAAGACACTGTGCTTCATCAAAAAGCAAGCAGCTGGAGAGCTCTAAATCCCAGCCACCTCATCTGACAGAAGTGCTGTACAGTATTGGATCCCACCCTGCTCCACCCACAGCCCTCCCTGCTCTTTGTGTTCTCCAATACAGAGTCGTGACACCAAACCTTGTAAAACTCTCTCCTCTATCACTCAGCATGATCCACCCTGTTTGACTTCTATATGGATGAGTATCAACATGAACTTCTGAGTACAATTTAAGCCACTGTACTTATTTTTCTACCTCTGCAGGGTGGGGACTAAACATTACACAAAACCCATCATATTCAGAAAGTCCTAAACTTGTGTTAAACAAGAGAGAAGGTAGAAGATAAAGGAGCATACAAGCATTCAAGATTTGAAACAAAGCATCACTTTTTGTTCAAAATTTTTCTTCTCTTTCAAGTCACATCATTGTTAATATGAGCACACCTGTAACTTTAAGTTAGTTTCACAAGTTTAGAAAATTGAATTTGTTACAATGAACCAAATACTCTGGAAAGCAAAAGGTACTTAGTTGTGGCATTCCAAGATCTTTGGCCAAGTATCTAGCAGCGTTTGGACTCCTTCATGCTTAAGGGCCACAAGCAGAACTGAGCAGTGCTGGATACTGTGCTGACAGAGCAAAAGACAGACTTTGCCCAAAAGAATGAGACAGATATTAAAAGTACCAGCATTAGAAGTTTACAGGAACAACAAATTAAACTCCCTAATGAAGTAGTTACAAAAAGTCCCAAGTGTATCCGAAAGAGAAGGATGACATAATTTCTTTCCATCCGCAGACAAGAAACACAAAAGGTATTTTCCACTGTTGCTTTAGTGCACTTGCCCTACTGCATGACCTTCTTCAACACAGCATCTATCTTCCAAAATTTTATGTGAAAGTTTTACCTCTTTATACACTATACCTTCTGAACTCTGCCCTTTTCAGGCAGCACTAAATGTATTTGCAGGGCATTCAGCCTCCATATGAATCTTTCCCAGAAATTTGCTAAAACTGAAGGAAAAGTTTACTTTTGAAAACTATGATGTCATCTCCTTTTCCAGCAAGTGCCTTTCCCAACCCACTTCAGCACATCCTTTCCATAATGCACAGTACGTCACTTGCAGATGGTTTTGAGAACTGCTACTCAAAACTTTGATTTAGAAGGCATTCCTTTAATACATCACGCATGTAGAAAATGGATATGCATAGCAAGGAGATGACTGTTCACAGCATATGTACACGTAAATCTCAAAACAGGCATCAGGGCGTTACGGGAAAGTAACTCCTCACTGCCAGTGAAGTTCCCTACTGGCGGCAACGGTGTGCTGGCCACATGTGAGGAGACCCGGAGATGTGCGTTACCGGGCTATATCCACTTTTCCCCGCCTGTTCCCTAATTTTACCGAGAGTCCGGCGCAGGTTTCCCAGGTGGTTCTGGGCACCTGGCGCTGCGCGGGCTGGAGGCAGCCGGGCGCCTCCCGGGGCGGTCACCTGTGCAGTACGGGACTCTCCGGGACCCGGCGGGGCTCCCCTCGGCCCCCCGCGCCCGGTCAGCCCTGCGGGAGCCCGGTCACCCCGGCGGCCCGGGGCGCGCTGTGCCCAGGAGGGACCCCGAGGCGGGGCAGGCGGCCGCTCCCCGGGCGCAGTCCCGCCCGCGGCCGGGCGTGCTCCCCCGTGGCCAGGGGCTCAAGCCCCGGCCCCCGCACCGCCCTCGCCCTGCTCCTCACCTCCAGACCTGCCCCAGCTGCAGGATGTGGACGAGCGACTGCAGGAGCCAGATGCAGAAGGCGCAGGACGCGGACCGGCCGCCGCCAGCGCGGGGACCGGCGGCGCCGCTGCCCGCGGCGTTGCTGCTGCTGTTGCTGCTGCTGTTGGTGGCGTTGCCCTTGCTGGCGGTGGACGCCTGTCTCTGCGGCGTGCTGGGGCGAGCGGCGTCGATGTCCGCGGCCGCGGAGCCGCTGCTCACCAGCAGCTTGCTCTCGGCGGCGGGGCAGTGCCCGGCGGCGGCGGCGGCGCTGTCCTCGGTGCTGAAGTCGTGCGCGAACCAGCGGAAGCTGAAGACCTGCACGGAGAGGGAGCCCAGCAGCACGAAGAATAGGGTGAGCCCGAACCACCAGCGCTGGCCCCGCAGGTAGTAGTCGACCGCCAGCCAGATGTCGGTGCCCACGTCCGCGAAGTACACGGCCAGGGCGGCCAGGATCCAGAGGCAGTCCCACAGCGAGTAGCGCCGCTGCTCCCTGCCCAGCCGCAGGCACAAGGAGGACGAGCCCCCGCCCGAGCCCCGGGAGCCCCCGCCACCGCCCCCTCCGCCGTCTCCTCCTCTGCCGCCGCTGCAGCAGCAGCAGCAGCACCGGGAGCCGCCGCCCGAGCCGTCCCCGCCGCCGCCGCCGCTGCAGCACCCGCCCCCGGGCGCCTCATCGTCGTCGCTGCCGCCGCCCGGCCCGGCGCCGGAGGGCAGCCCCGGGGCCAGCGCCTGCACGGAGCCCGAGTGCTCGGAGTTCTGCAGCGGCGTGAACGCCACCTCGCCGCCCTTCTTCATCTTCCGCCGCCCGTCCGACTTCGCGGCCATGATGCCTCCCTCAGCCCCGCTGGAGAGCGAGCGGGAGCAGCGAGCGCTCCTTTATCCCGCGCCTCCTCCTGCTCCTCCTCCTCCGCCTCCTGACTCCTGCCTCCCGCCCTCCGCCGCCGCGGACCCGCCGCTCCCCGCGTCCCCTGTCCCCGCTCCGCGCCGGGCTGCGCGCCCGCGGGCGGCTCCTCCGCGGCGGCCGCGTCCGCAGCGCCGCCTGTCTGCGGGGAGCCGCGCTCAGCCCGCCCGCCCCGCCGCCGCCTCCGCGGGGGCCGGCGGTGCCGGGGCCGCCGCCGCCGCGCTCTGCTCGAGCCGGGAGCAGGCAGGGCTGCGCTGCCCGGAGCAGCGCATCCCGCACCCGCCTCCCCGCCCGCCTCCGCCCGCACCCGCCGCCGCCACCACCCAGCTGACTGACGCCGGGAAAGAGGATGACCTCATCCCTCTTCCCTCGCTGCCACCGCCCCCCGCCCGGCACCGGCACCGGCACTGGCGCAGGGGCGGGGAAGGGGGCGCTCGGCGGCCGGGAGGGGAGGGCGCGGCGCTGCCCCGAGGGTGCGGAGCGGGCCCTGCGGCGGCGGGGCCAGGCGCTGTCTCTGCTGCCCGGCCCGGGGAGGTGGGCACGGCGGCGGCGAGCGAGCGGGTCGGCGGGGAGCGGTGGGGTGTGGCCGGCTCCCCCCGGGGCCGGGGCTGCGGGAGCAGGGGGTCGCGGCGCTGCCGCCGGCTCCGCTGCCGATCTCCGGTGTCCTCCGAACAGTTTGGAAGCGTCTGCCCCGCCGGCGCGGGGATGGAGTAGCGGAACGCGGGTGGGTGCGGACGGGGCGGCCGGGAGGGCGGGGGTCCCCCCGGGCTTCTCCCTGCGAGCGGGCATCCTCGGGCTGGGGGCAGCCGCCGCTGCTGCCGCCCCAGCGCGGTGACTGGGGCAGCTCCGGGCGGCGGTGCCCCGCCGTGCCGCCCGATGCCCGCAGCGGGACCGGCCCGCCCCGCGAAGCCGCGCTGAGCGCCCGGCACGGCGGGTCCCGCACGGGGCGGCGGCCGCTTCCCGGCCGTCCCGTAGGAAGCGCTGCCGACGCTCCCTAACTTTGTGAAACGCTGTTGCGAGATGCAGTTCTCGGGTTGTGCCGTGACTCACGCTGCCTCAGAGGCGTTCGGGGGAAGGTGAGGAGACACCGTTTTATTCCGCCACCTGGAGAAATCGCATTTTGGGCGTAAAATTCACCAGGCGAACTCACGACGCCTTTCACCGCTCCCCGCCCCTTTCCTCGCAGCCCCGGCTGCTCACAGAGCGCGGTCGCTGCTCGGAGCTCACCCGGGTGTTTCGGCAGCGGAGCTGGCTCCGCCGGCAGCTCCCGGCTCGGGGCGGCGGGAGCAGCTGAGGTCGGGAGCAGCTGTCCCGGGCGGAGCCGGCGCCGCTCTCCGCCGCGGAGCGCAGACTCCCCCGGGCGGCCCGCGGCGGCCGTCGCCCTCGGAGCCCGGCGGGGGACACAAGTGAACGACGGCTACCCGGTCACGGGAGGCCACCAGCATCGGCCTCCGAGAGTCACACGGGAATCACAGGGCTCGGGCTGCTGGCGGGGTGGGGGCGCATTTACCGCCCATCCTTGGCCCTTCCGCCCTCTCTGTCCTCCTGCATCTTCAACCATACGGGATGAGCAACTAATTGACCTATTCACCTTTTTAAAAATTTTTAAAGCCTCTGCAATATTTTATGAGCATGCCCTCTCCCTTCTTAAAATAGAGCAGTGAGTTCGTTCAACCACGTTGCTGGAATATCTTAATAGGAACGGCAGTGAGACTGATAGGGTAGTGTTATGTTAAGCTCTGTGACTAAATATAGTCCCTTTAACTTCATTAATTAAACAGAAGAAGTCATATGGACAGCTGAGAAATCTGCCTTCTAACTCTTAAATGTACATGGTAAGTATAAAATTGCCTTTAGGAAATTAGCTTTTACTGATGTATATCCCAGATTTCAAGAAAAAACTGCAGCATGCATTACAGTATTCAGAGTGCTGAACACACAAAAATCAAACTTTGGAAGGTGAAAAGCACACATGAAACTAATTTGACTAGTTATTTTGCATGTTATCACACAAGAGTCTTTTAATTACATTGTCACATAATGGTTCTTAAATAATACACATTTGCTATGCAGTCTCTGTTAATATGGTATAACTGCACTTTATTTCTATTCCATTTGGAACCCTGTGTTTTATTCTCATTACAATCTACATGATCTTTCTTGCCTGAGACTTGTAATACAAATTGCTTCTTTCTCAAGATATCTTTTAATAATTCAGTCAGCACCTATATATAATACAATATATTCATTTAAGGTCCCTTTCAACCCAAAGCATTCTATGATTCATTCTATGGTTCCAGGATTACCTTGTGAGCAGAGATGGTGCTTAATGATAAAGCTACTTTAGCTGCAAGTTTGTGGTTTATAACCAACAAGTTTTCAGTGTTACTCTATTTCATAGCATGGTTTGGGTTTGAAGGCACTTTAAAGATCATTGAGGTCCAATCCCCTGCTGTGGCCAGGGACACCTTCCACTTGACTAGGTTGTTCAAAGCCCCATCCAAACTGTCCTTGAACACAACCAGGGATGGAGCCTCCCCAGTTTTTCTGGGGAGGCTCCATCTGTTCTGGTTCCTCACCACCCTCACAGTAATTGTTGGGCTTTTTCTCTAACATCTAATCTAAACCTGCCCTCTGTCAGTTTGAAGCCATTACCACTTGTCCTGTCACTATATGCCCCTGTAAAAAGTCCTCTCCAGCTTTCCTGTAGTCCCATTCAGGTAGTGGAAGGTGCTATAAGGTTTCCCCAGAGCCTTCTTGTAGTTATGTCTTCAATAAAATGGTTTAGTGTACACTGTAGGTTACTTTAATTGAGTCTGTTTGACATATACAGGTCTAAAAGATGCCACAAACTTATAATGGAGGTTATAGTGTGATACATGAGTGGCAGTAGGGGAGCAACAGTGCTCCTGGAGCTGAAATCCTAACCTAAATTGCTTGGGCTGCAGGTGGGGTAAGAGAGTAACTCTAAGGTGTCAGATTTAAGAAGGAGAGAATAAAATGGAAGAGATCTAGGTCCAACATACTAAAAGGGCACAAAGTTGCTCTGAGCAATGCAGGAGATATTTAGGAACATAAATGGTGTCAGTCTCAGTGTACATCATCTTCAGGGATCCTGCTTAAGGCTACTCCACTGCTTGCCATTGGAAAAGGTAAGTGCTGAGGCCGTGTCCCCACATCCTCCCCTCCCTGCTCCATATGTGGAACAAATCTTCTGGTATATTTGTCCTGAACCACTTCACTAAAGGATAGCATGTGATAGAACTAGGAGCTGACCCATCTTCCAGGAAGAATTCAGTTCACCCTGGTGGGCTCAGACCTCTAAATCTGAAAGGTCTTCAATTTGCAAGATAATTTGCTGGAGGTGGGGGGACAGTTTTACGCTTTCTTTCCTATATGTTTACCTCCTCTCCCTCTCCTCTCCCTCTCCCTCTCCCTCTCCTCTCCTCTCCTCTCCTCTCCTCTCCTCTCCTCTCCTCTCCTCTCCTCTCCTCTCCTCTCCTCTCCTCTCCTCTCCTCTCCTCTCCTCTCCTCTCCTCTCCTCTCCTCTCCTCTCCTCTCCTCTCCTCTCCTCTCCTCTCCTCTCCTCTCCTCTCCTCTCCTCTCCTCTCCTCTCCTCTCCTCTCCTCTTTTTGTTGGTTGGTTAGGTTTGCTCTGTTTGGATTCAGCTACTGTTGCATTTGAGAGGGAAATAATATTCTTTCACACTGATTTTCATATTAACAATAGCTGTCTGTGACAAGAAAGGCAGTGCAATAGATGAACATTTAAACTTAAATTAAAGACTGTTTGATACTTGATAAGAGGAATGTCTTCTGGTTTGTTTTCTCACTTTAAAGATAACAAATGAAAAGGATCCCAAATAATAATAATGATAATAACAACAGAACCAAATTTCCTCTCTGTTAGACCGGCATAACTTCTGTGGAGCTGTATCAAGGCCAGAAGTGTTTGTATACACACTGTGTACAAACCAGCATGTATTCAGCAAGGCGATGTTGTTACTAAACCTCAGAAATTATTAATTACAAAATATAATTGAAGGACAAAAATGAGATCGCAGACATAAATACATATTTCATAAACCAAGTACAGACAACCAAGTACATTCATTTCTCATGCAAAGTTAGTTTTTCTCTGAAGGAGATTTTATTCATGGCTTTCTTTTTCTTCTCCTTTCTTTAAAGAAAACATTTTTATAGTTATCACTGCTTTTGCTTTGTTCTGAGTTGCAACTATTTCCCTTTTTTGCCCCTTAGAATCTTGGTCTACTTTAGGAATACTTTTTGTGTGTGTGTATGTCCTTCTGTTGTTTCACCGTAGACCATTATCAACTCAAATCTAAATGTCCAGGAAACAAGCTTCCAATCCTCTTATCTTTACTCTAAACTATTTTTTAGTTCTTCACATCCTAACAATGATGTTTTTCCATCTCTTCTTCAGCTGTGCTGTACAGACTGCCCTTTCAAAGCAGACTTGAACTTTTGCTTGTATAGCTCTCATTTTGCCATTAGAATATCATTATACTCTACAGGTCTAATCAATTCTTGCATGCATCCTTCAAAATGATTCCAAAATCCATTTTCTTTTGTTTGACAGTATTTTGTCGATTGCAGTTTAGTGCTTTAGTTTCTGCACTTTCTTCTAGTTCAGACCAACTGAAGCATTAGAAGAAGATCATTGTACCTGGATTTGACACCCTCTGGAAGCATTCTGGCACAAAAGCCTGCCTTTCTTACTCTAGTCAGTCCTTTAGGGGGTAGTTCTGCATCAAGAAGGAGTTGTGCATAATCCTGCTGTCCTGGCAGGGCTTGCAATGCTTAGCAGAGCTCCTGAGCAGCCCCTCTTAGAAACAATGGATGTCCTAAGGGATTCCCTAGTGATCCTACCTACCTACCTACCTACCTACCTACCTACCTACCTA